CAGATCCTATTCTTGGCTTTCTTCACCCACATGCATCATAGTGTTCCTGGAAAATATATCAGTTTTTCCTTCAACTCTGATCTAGGTGGTGTGGATTCTCAAATATATATCTAAGAAGGTGAGAAAGATTAGTGAATTCCATTGGGAAGTTTACTACATAATTCAGAATCATGGCAGATGATTGATCAGGGAACTTAATACAACTCTCCAAAACTTGGTGGCAAGGTAACAGAAATAAGTTGAAGAGATCAGAGCCTGTGCCAGTCCATATTGTATTTCTGGGAGGATATCTGGACTCAACAATGACTCATAGTAGAGCCTGGAGAACAGGAAGATACAGGCAGCCTGGGTATGTAATTACATGGTTAATTCTGTAGCTGGTCACAGAGTATTACTTCATTAGGGTACCTGCAGAGATAAAGTTATACCAGGTTCTGAGAAAACAAAAATACCTTCACTCCACTCAGTCAGATAGACAGACCAGCTATTCTTCCACAAGGCAGGACTCAGAAACGATACTTATCTCTCATAATATTACAATGTCCTCATTTAAAAATAAGATTATAATAGTATTTACAACATAATATAACAATTAGATGACAGAACGACCGTAAAGCCATTGAACAGTGCCTGGTAGTGAATAATTATTGTTTATTAGTGATCTAATAATAAAGGATTCCATGAGATTTTATCCTGCAAGTAGTATCCTTTAGTAACCAGAGATGGTAACAGGTTGAAGCAGTAAGAGAATGTAGTGTCTACTAGTGATTGGGCTAGAAAAGTGACATAATGCTCTACCTTCTAAGCAATGTTTTTGATTCTGTACAGTTGAAGTTAAAATGGTGATGACAGAATTTAATACCTGAAATTTATGTTTTGCATTCCTCGCTTCCTCTGCACCTACCTTCTCTGTCTTCTCAAGCCATTTCACATGTTCCTGATAATTCTTTCCTCTCTCTTTCCAACTCTGTTCATGCTTTTTTTGTACTTCCTCCAATATTTTTCTTTTAGTTGCTTCAGATTCAGCCTTTATACGTTGCACTGACAAAGAAAAATAAGCAGAGAAACATGAGGATTAAATTGTTATGGCTTATTTTGCCTTTCACCCCATCGTTTTTGTTTTATTCTTATTTCAGAGAGAAAACCTCTTGTGATAGCTTTTGCACTGAAGAAGCAAAAGAAAACTGTAAACAACAGTTAAAAAATCCCCTTGAACTATGGACTATGATGATTTCCAGTGCATTAATGTTGTTGACAACATTTCAAGGGTTTCCCATCTATCTGGAATTTTTTTTTGAACAGCTTTACTGATGTATAATGGTAACACTATTAGATGTGCAGGAGGCAGCTGATTGATGTTTCTCTCTCATCGATGTTTCAAACTCTCTATACCTCTCCCTTCCTCTCTGTAAAAAATCAATAAAATATATTTTTTAAAAAATCTCCTTAAACTATGAACTATACTTGCTACTTTTTGCACTGCAATAATGATTTCCAGGGCATTAATGTTGTTGACATTCCTAGGGTTTCCCATCTATCTGGAATTTTTATTTTTTTGAACAGCTTTACTGATGTATAATGGTAACACTATTTATTGCCAAATGTATTTTTATCTATCTATGATACATGTATACATCTGATAAACCACCACAATCAAGTTAGGAACATACCTATGACTGAAACATCTCCTCATGCCCTTTGGTTCTCCTCCTGAACATAAAACCTCATCCCCATCACTAGGCAAAACCACTGGCCAGTTTCTGTGACTAGAGAATAGTTTGCTTTTTCTGGAATTTTACATAAATGGAATCATACAGTATGTAGACTTTTTTGTCTGCCTTCTTTCACTCAGCATATTTATTTTTATAACATTGATTTATGTATCAATCCTTTATTCCATGTTATTGCTTAGTAGTATTTTTTTGTATAGATATGTTAAATTTTGTTGTCCATCTATTGATGGACATTTGGCTTGTTTCCAGTTACTGGCTATTACCAAGAAAGCCGCTATGAACATTTTCAAACAAGGTATTGTATGTACATAAACTTTCAACTTTACTGAGGATATATCTAGGAACAAATGATTAGACTGCATGGTAGGTATTTGTTAAAACTTTTTAAGAAACTGACTAACTGTTTTCCAGAGCAATTTACCATTTACATTCCCACAGTAGGGTATAAGGGTTCCAGTTGCTCCACATTCCCACTAACACTTGAAATATTTAGTGCTTTTAATTTTAGCCTTTCTAGTAGTGCATGGTGGTATCTCATTGTGGCTTGAATTTCCACTTTTCTAATAAGCAATGATGTTGTTAATAACTGATAATGTTTATAATGTGCTTATTGCCATCCAAATATATGTTTTTGATGAGATATCTGTTCAAATTATATCATTTTTCCTCATATTTCAGATGTTTGCTTTTCCAATTAATGAGATATTTGTTGAGTTTTAAGAGTTCTTTAAATATTTTGGATACAAGTCCTTTATCTGATGTGTGATTTGAAAATAACTACTTCCAATCTGTGTCTTGCCTTTTCATTCAATGAAAAGTCTGTTGTTTCAAAGAGCAGAGTTCTTAATTTTGAAGTACAATTTATTATTTTTATATTCAGAGTGTTTTTAGCTGTTCTCACCTTCAATCTCATGTTGCATCTCTTCCTCCTGGTGTTTCCTCAATAACTCTTCAACCTAGTGATGCAGCATAAGTTAGAATTATGAAATAAAGACTATGAGTTTAAGCAAAACCCAGTAATACATGCATTAATTCAATATAGTTTTATCACCCAAATAACAATCATTGTAGAATTCAAATAGCTCTTTGATGTTTTTGTCCAGTATTTCCAAACCTTTGGACCTGGTAGTAGGAGTTTGTATCTATGTGCCCTTAGCAGAATCCCACTGGGGGTGGAGAAGGGTTGGGACTGGGTCAGGTCTGACAACTATGCCATGAATGTGTATCAGTCCTAGAGATGTTCTTTGGGAAGGATGGAGGTTTAGTTCTATTTTTCAGTTCCTCTGAGGTAGGATGGCTACACACATGTTACCCATAATGGGAACTGCTGACACTCGAGAACACTGGCAATCAAACTCTAGATAAGGACAAAATATGCATTTAGTCTGGACATGTAGAAAGAAGGAGGCTGATGTGGAAACAAATGCAGCAAATTTTAGAATTTTCAGCATCCCATATTTCATATCATGTGTAATCTGAGACTTTAAGACCAGTTAGCACTATATCAGGTGTTTTTGATAGGTGTACCAAACATCCTAAGAACTGAAGTCATAGTCACTTGGGGGCACAAGGAAAGCCTATAATCACCACAAACAACAGTTCAGAAGCCTGGAGCATGTTAACTGACCTCCCAAAACTCTAATACCATGAAAGTGCTTAGTCTTAAAGACTTAGGGCTTTAGAATGATCCAATTAACTTGACATTTCATGGAATCATTTGTAACTTTAATTAAAACTTTTGCTCTTCCCTTCATGAGAAACCGTTACTTACCTCTAGACTTTCTCCATACCACGCCCATACTTACTTTCTGCATGTACTCCGTGATTTTCTCCTGGTGTTTCTGTTCATTTTCCTTTTCTATCTTCATGTTCTCCTTCAGTAGGGCTATGCTTTCCTTGAAGCTTCTCTCTTGAGCCTCCATTTTTTGCTGTGTTTCTCTCAATGTCTGCCTTAGAAGCTCCTGTTCCCTTTTCACTGCCTCCTTCTTGGCCTGCTCAGCTGTTCCACAGTGGTTTTACAGAGAGAAGAAAATAACAGCTATACCTAGCTGTACTCATCAAAGGTAAGGGACTAAAATGATTTCATAATGGCAGAGAGGAATCTCTGAATATTCTTACTAACAATACCAGCAAAACATGTTTCAGAATGTGATGGAAAGGCACTGATTGCTTGAGGGAGCAATTAAACTCACCTGGTTATTTTTAGATTTAGCCAAGTTATTCTAATCCTTTTGTGGAAACACCTAGTTTCAAGATGGATTTGCTCTCACACATTAAAGCGCACTGCAGAACCCCCTCCCCCCCTAACCCCTCCCACTCCTGGCCCTCTGTGATCACAGCCCTGCCCTTTACCTGCTAGAGCCTTCTCCCCAGCAGTGAGGGCCTTGTCAGCCTGCATTATGGATTCCTTTGTTGCAGCCTGTGACTGCTTGAAGTTCTGGAGGACCTCCACTGCCTAAGGAAACAAGGAACACAGACTCTTCTTGTTGGGAAGTCATTGTTCAACAAAACTGAAAAATTGACCCTGTAAATTGTTAATCTTACTTAGGATCCCACAATGGTTCCCTTCATTCCATGGCCACAGTAAGAAATCCAATCACTTTAGTTAGAATAAAACACTTTTTGGCAACCTCTTTCTCAGCTTTACAGTCCTGACCTAATGATGTCAGCCACCACCCACCTCAGGTCATAGACAACCAGGTTTATGTGCAGTTCTACAAACACTCCTCCTCAATTGTTCACAGTATTTGCACATTCTTCTTCTTCTGCCTGGATGTTCATCTACCCTTTCTTCACTCATATTATCTATTGATACCTCAACTTGTAGCTTCTACCGCCTCTTCTAGGAAGCTTTGCTGAACTTCCTTCTGAGATTTGACTGGATGCCACATACATATACCTACCCTGCCACCTCTACCACTTACTGGCTGTGTGTTCTTAGGTCACTTATTAGCTTCTCAGTGCATATCATTTCTCAATTGTATGATGGGGATGACAGTAGTACCTAAATTCATACTATTCTGAAGATAGAACTAATAATCAAAACACAGCACCTAAAAATATACTTGGTTTAGGAAGTGTGTGCTCAATATATACTTGCCATCACCATCATCATTTTTATCACTATTAGTGCATACCTGTATGATAGCCATTATCCCCCATATCCAATTGGGACATGCAGGAGATGAGGAGTGGCCAGAGAAGATAGTGGAGTTCCAGAGTGATTTGATTTCTCATTAGCTTCATAAATTCTCTGAGCACCTACCATGTGCTGGGCAGTGGTCTATGTGCTCAGTATCAAGCGGCAAACCAAAATGGATACCAATTCCTGCCTCATGGAGCTCTATTCTACTGGGAGGAGACAGACAATAAAGAAAGCAAATAAGCCGGATGCATATATGTAATGATAGAAAGTGCTCAGGAGAAAACAAGCAGGAACTGAGATAGAGAACACGGGGGCTGAATTTATATAGAGGATAGTCAAGAAAGGCCTCTCAGAAAAAGAGAAATAAATGTGCTCTGTGACCTTGAGGAGGACAAATGTAGTGAATCCTGGGAGCTGTAGCAGTTGGAGGAGGGGAGACTTTGAGAGGAAGAAGAAGGCAAAGAATGAGGCTCCCTCTCAAAACACCACGATATAGATCTTTATAGGACCCAGATACAGTTATAAATGCAGGAATTCATTTATTTAAACTAGAATAAAAGGAAATTTTTGTTTCTGGGCTGGCAGGGAAGAGAGGCTATAGCTAGGGTGATTTCTGGTGTGCCCAGAGCTGCCAGAGTCCCACAGCTGGGAGAGGTCCTACTTTCGTGTATTCATCACAGTGGGCGTTTCATGCAATTAAGGGACAGAAAGCAGTCAAAATGCTTTGACTGTCCCTTCATGCCGGGAGCCGGTCCATCCTTGCTGTTTCGAGGGACCTGGCATATGTGGCATACTATTCTTGGTATGTTTGCTCACGCATACTGTTCTTAATATGTTTGCTCCCCTTCTTGGCGCTATGTGTTTTAACCAAGGTCACCTCTCCGAGAAAGGTTGTTTCCCCAGGTAGGGATTTTTCCCTGAAGTTAGGGAGGGAATAAAACCCCTTAACTAAGTGCCAGGCGGGTAGTTAATCACTTTAACTAAGAACAATCATGCTTAAGCTACATAATCTTTACTCCCTGGAATGGAGATAAGAGACGCCCTAACCTTTGCAATAGAAATTGAAAGGATTAAAATCAACTGATATAAATACAGTTGTAACAAGACAACAGAACGACAGAACTTGGACAGAACCTAGTGAGAGAACATGGCAAAAGATCCTGGACAGAACCTGGCTACAGAACTTGGCTGGAGAACCTAGACAGAACATGGCGGGAGAACCTGGAGAACCTGGCTGGAGAACCTAGCGAGAGAAACCATACACAGAACTTGGCTGGAGATCCTGGAGGGAGAACCTCGCTATGCTGATGAACCGAACCCAGTCTCCATGTCATTCCTTCTTCGCTGACTCCGTCCACACATTTGGGGACCCCTGGACCTGCTGGGGTTGGACCCCAGCACCTTCAATTTCTCAAAGACAATCCTAAGCAACATTCATGTGTTCCCTGCTTTTCTAGCTGTGTGCATTAAAAAAGTAATTTCTCTGTCTTAGTTTGTTATCCATAAAATGGCAACACTAAAAAAAACCAACACAATCTAATGGTCATTAAGGTCATTAGGAAGATTAAATATATGATAAAATTTGTAGTGCTCTTAAAATCATTGTGTTGCACACTGAATCCTATGTTAGTATTGATTAAAAATTGAGTGTCTAAGAGGGTAGGGAGGTTAAGTTATAAACAAAGGTGAAGATTTAGCTTTGGACTGAACAGTGACTTCTCTTGATCCAGTTGTGAGCACGTGGAGGACACATCCCATGAGTAGGACTCCGACAGGACAAGAGCAGCGGGGGGGGGGGGACCCTGGGGGGGGGGGGGTGAGTCCTGTGGGAGGAACCCAGAGCAGTCCTGGGATGTTGGAGCACAGATTCTGGAGTGGCTACCAAGCTTCAAATCACTTCCTGTCAATGAGACCTTGGAAAAGGAACTTACCTCTGTGAGCCTGCATTTCCTTAGTGTGATAGATAAAGCAAGAATTCCTGTCTGACTCATTCCTGTAGGGTCTGATAACACACAGGGTCTCAATAATTAATGATTAATGTAGTGTTAGGCATTATTAATGATTAATGTTGAAATGTGTGTATATGTTCAGTAAGCTGCAAATTGCCACCAAATAATAAGGTGTCTAAAATCTTTTTTCTCAGAAAATAACAAATTTTATAACACACTTTCTCTGTATCATTTCTCTTTTTTGTCTAAAGGTGATTGGGAGCAGAGTTCGGGAGTAAAACATTAAACTTCTAGTGCTGTGTTATAAGCAGGAGGATTTACAGAGTTTATTTCTTGGACTCAATATTTAAAATTTCGGGTAGAAGTAGATAAGTTAACAAAATTTTTTTAAAATGTAAGTAAACCTAAATAACCAAACCAAAAGCTGTTAAGTTCAAATGAATAAGTAAAATGAAATAGTTCTCCTGTGTGGCGTTAGTTGGTTTCCAAAGTTTCTCTTTAGGAGAGTCAGTCATCTGAAGTGATGATGCAAACTACCCCAAACCTTGACTTCTCAGCAAGTATGACAGGACATTCTGAGATGGTTCTTGTGATGCCTGGTAAACAAACACTCTTAGATATTATAGTTATTTCTAACAGTTGGTGATGAATTGAATTATTCTATATCACACAGCTTTATGCTACCTTTGGAATATTAAGTATTGCTAAATACAAAAATAATCAGAGTCAACCTTTCAGGAATTAAATTGTCTGTAAGTTAAAGACCACCTTTTCTCTCAGTTTCTCCAGTGCCTGGAGATGGGGCGAAGATGGTGGTTGTGGTGCAGGGACAGTCTGAGGAGGGACAGGGAGATGGAGGGGGAGAGACTCCACCAGGAGCCTCTGCAAGTGGATGGGGTTTACTCCATCCATCCCAGGAAGGGTTTAGCCCTTTTGGCATTTGAGGGAATATGGGTTCCTCCTCTCCCCATGGAAGGCTGTTTGTGTAGCCCTGGGAGGGTTCCAGAGGCGCAGCTCACCCTGGAGACAAGGTGGATGAGCACTGGTCCCTTCACAGAGAGGCCTCTGATCCAAACACACACTGAGCTGCTGGTAGCCAGGCCCAGTACTAGCCTCCTGCTGTCCCCTTGCCCTCCAGTGCCAAGTGTGCACTTCCAGTGTGGGGTGTGCATTTAGGTATCTGTTGTTGTTGATATTAAGGAACGTGGGCCTGGAAGAGCAAGTCTAATAGTTTAGTGGGAACCTACATGTCTTGGGTGCTGCAGACAGGGGACAAGTTCTCAGCAGTCCTAGCTCTTCCCTCCCTCACTCCTCCTGCATCTGGCTCCTCCCCATAATGACTATTCTCACTGGAAACTAAAAATAATGAAGATATTACATCCAAGCATTTAAGGGTCAGGTTGATTAGAACCCAAATCAAAATGGAAAGGACGCTGCTTTTTTGCTGTTAGAGAAGTAGGTGAGGAATGAAATTCATGCCAAGCCAAGGAGTTCAGAGGCAGAGTTTCCAGAAAGCAGGAACAAAACTGCTTGAGAGCACAGAGAGGTCAGATAAACAAAATGTTGGCTTTAGCGATGCACCACAGTGGGTTCTTTAAAGATAAAATTTTTAGAAACATAGTGGGGCCAAATTCTACTTGTAAGGCGTAAGAAAGCAGTTGGCACTAAGAAATTGGATCTAGTGAACCTTGGCTATGTTTTATTTTATTTTTAAGAGTTTATTTAAATTACAGTTGGCATTCAATATTGTATGATTTTCATACTACATAGTGGTTAGACATTTCTATAACTTAAGAAGTGAAACCCCCAATAGGTCTAGTACCCACCTGGCAGTCTGCATAATTATCACAATATTATTGAGTACATTCCCTAGGCTGTACTTTACATGCCTGTGACAGTTTTATAACTGCCAATTTGTACTCCTTAATCCCTTCCCCATTTTCATTCAGCCCCTATCCTTCATCCCACCTGGCAACGAGAACCTGGGTTACTTCTAAACCAAGAAATCCATTCTGAAACAAAGCTTATGTGTTTGACGAAAATGTATGGTGTTTTCAAAATAAAGTTCTTACCTGTTTTTTCTCCTCAGTGTAGGTTTGAGTGTTTTCTGTCACTGCTCTATCTTTCACCTGATGGTAGGGCTTTTATTCACCTGTCTGATGTCATGTGACTTTCCGGAATTCCTAAACACCCATTAATTAGAAGTGAAGGACTTAGAGTAATGTGAAACTGAAAGCACTGAGTACAAAGCAGTGATTCAACAACCATCAAAGGAATTTCTGAAAGTCATAGAAATGGAAGGGTACTTGAATTTCACAAAATTTCTTAACTAGTTCAGTTTGACAAAAGCTGTGGCTCCCTCTTCCTTCTTCCATACAGGGTAAGGTGTGTCACTGGGAGAGGCAGGCCACCAGTATTTCTCATGGCCTCCAGCACTGAGTTGTAGAGACTGAATTACAGGAGGCTGGGGATCCCAACCTGCACCCAGACCCACTCATAGGGTGAAGGCTCCAGCTGGTGCTTAAGTGGGAGGAAGGATGGGGACTGAGATTGCCTGGCCTGATCACCCTCCCACTGGCTGGCTGACTTGTAGGAAGGAGTTTCCAACCTGGTAGAGGCAAGTAGAGAAGACCAGAGGCTACCATCCCTGCCCAGGGAGGAGCAGTGGCTCAGAGATATTTTCCCAGGGAGAGAGGCAGCCCATAATCACAGAGATCTCTGAATTTCTTCCCCAAAGAACTCATTTTATTTGAAACAGTGTGGGGACTTGTAGAAACTTTATAGCAAATCGACTTTAGAAAAAACACAAAAGGAGGTTTTCAGCAGGAAGCAAGTGACCCCCGATGGTAATACAAATCCATATAGAAAAACAAAGAGCAACAGTAAGGGAATTGTGTAATTATAAAAGACAGTTTAAATACATATTTCCTCTCCTTTCTCCTATTAACTAGTTTAAGAAGCAATTGTATAAAACAATATGTATATAATTGTATTGCAGGGCTTATTTCATACTTAAAAATAATATATTTAGCAATAGCAGAATAAAGGAGGTCAGTGGTTACACAGCCTATTGAAATAAGAAGATGACACGTGATGTTAACGTGAACTCATAGGAATACAGAGAAACAGAGATTGTAAGAAAGTTACTATAACAAGCCCTATACATTTATTCTTCCTCCTTCAGCCTTTCTAAAAATGGAAAATCATACAAATTAATAACTATCAAAATGTATTGTTGGGGTTGTTACATATCTATATATATAAAAGGCTAAGTGACCAGCTGACTGGCCGACTGGCAGGTAGGAATGATGTACACTGACCACCAGGGAGCAGATGCTCAATGCAGGAGCTGCGGAGTGATAGCAGCTTTGCAGTGTGCCTACTTCCCCTCTGGGACCCCTCGGGGGATGTCGGAAAGCTGGTTTTGGCTCTGCATTGAGCGTCTGCCCCCTGATGGTCAGTGTGTGTCATAGTGACCAGTCATTCCCAGTCGTTCTGCTGTTAGGGTCAATTTGTCAATTTGCATATTACCCTTTTATTATATAGGATAGAGACCTGGTGCATGGGTGGGGGCCAGCTGGTTTGCCCTGAAGGGTGTCCCGGATCAGGGTGAAGGTCCCGCAGGGGTGCCTGGCCAGCCTGGGTGAGGGGCTGAGGGCCGTTTTCAGGCTGGCCACATCCCCTTCAAGAAGGGGGGTCCTGCTGCGGTGCCTGGCCATCCTGGGTGAATGGCTGATGGCTGTTTGCAGGCTGGCC